GCATCAGGGACCGCGGTTCAATCCCCCAGCACCACATGCCAGCCAGCCCCGCCCCCTGGTGGGCTGAGCTGGCCACACACACACACCACACACACAACACACACACTAAATAAATGTTAAAAAAAATAAAAAAAAAAGATTTACATGGGGGAGTTTCCTCCTGTGCATGGTTTCAGGTATTTGCTAGGGGTTTGCAGAAGGATGAAGTGGAGTCTAGCTAGTTGGCAGTGGATGATGAGATTCCCTCACTAGGAAGACCACTGTCCCTCCTTCTTTGGTCATCCTCTTCCCTTCTCTTCCCCACAGACTTCTCCAGCCCTCCTGAATCACCCTGTTCTCCTAGAAGCCCTTGGACATGCCCAGTCTGCTGTGGACAATGACACTAAGGACAATGGCTGAGTCAAGCCTGGAGGAACCTGACCCAGACTCTAGGATTACCCCAGGTCACCCGTGCTCCACACACACTTGTATCCACTCCCTCCAACCTGGGTTGAGACTGGTCGCTGGGGTGCAGTGAGCCTGAAGCCTATAGGTACAGTCATGGGCTCTAGATCTCTCCACTTCTGGATATGTTCAGCTCATTCCCCAGTCCTGAGAGTCCCAGCTGCTCCTTCCCAATGGGATCCACCATAGTGACACTGCCCTCCTACTGTCCTGGCATAGTCATTTCAAGGGTGCTGGCAGTCACTATTTCCAGAGCTGCCACTGTTCTCCAGGAAACCCCTTTGTTCTTGCCAGTGGACAGTGTTCTTTGTTCCCAGTGACCATGACCTTGTACTAAGATCCCTGAGAACAACCAGTCTTCAAAACAAAACCAAAAAGAATAAGCCATGGACTTGGATTTGACTTTGTTCCAAATGCTAGTCATTTAACCTGAACTCATGGTGAGAGCCATGTGCTTGGGCCAACAAGATAGCTCAGTGGACTAAGAACCTGCTTAGGCAAGCTCAGGACTGGAGTTTGATCCCTGGCACCACATGCTACATCAGCCCCACCACCAGGCACATTGAGCCGGCCACCAGCTCCAGGTGTGGTGGCACATGCCTGTACTCCCAGTGCTGGGGAGACTGAAAACAGGAGGATCACTATGGGTCTGAGTTGCATAGTAAGACCCTGTACCAAATATAATAATTAAAAAAAAAAAGACCCCTGTGCTTTCTGAGCTCAAAGACATGAAGGAGAACCCGCAGATGGCAAAACAGCAAGTGGCTTTTCTTTGGCACAAGGAACCTTTTTCCACTGACTTTTACAATCTTTTATTTATAACAAAATCATAAAGAAAATATTTATTAATTATTTATATAGTACATAAAGCCTGGTATGAACTCCAATCTGAAAAAGGCAAAACCATTATTTTTTGAACACTGAATGAAGTTTCCAGTGTGAATCCCAAGGCACCAGGTGACAGAAATTAACCTCAGTCCAGCAAGAGTTTCTTCCTCATCCTTACCTGGGGCTGTTTTCTGGGGAGGCTCTGTTCCTCAGTCGCCAGCACCCATTCATGCCAGCACCTGCAGAAGCTCCCCATTCTCACCTGGCTGTCAGGCGGTGGCTGTGGGTATGCTCGATTGCCACCGTATGCCCCTCACTCCCAGAGCCTCTTTGATCCTGCCTGTGCTCGGGACACGCAGCTCCTTTGGTTCCTGGTCCTGTACCCCTCTGGGCTTCAGAAAGCTCCATCCAATGGCTGTTCTAATGGGTGGCACATTCTGCTCTGCGCTGTACTGTTCTCCTAGGCTTTACCCAGGAACATGGGGCTCGGGGCTCTTTTCCCCTTGACACTCCAAATCTGTATGGGATTTGCCGTGCATACCCCCACCCTTCACAGGGGTCCAGACATGTCTACAGAAGTTTCTCTTTGTTTCCCCACTAATCCAGCCAATGAAATCTTTCCGGTGGGGATGTGGGCCCTTTATTCTCTGGCCCTGATATGTTCTTCCAAGGCTGCTGTGTCCTGAGCACATGCCACCCCACTTGAGGATCGGGCTTTTAAGGTTCCAAAGTCAGACTCAGCTTCTGCTTTGTTCCCCTCCCCCTGTGGCTATGGGCACTGCAGGTCCAGCTGTCCAGTGTGGGTAGGTTACTATTTCTAAAATGTGATCCTGACCCCATTACCTTCCTAAGCTTCAGAGTCAGACACTTGTTGACTGTCAGGCAGTACATGAAGATATTTTCTCACCAGCCACTTTGCCAAAATCCAAGGGTTAGTGCTGGCTCTGCCGTGCCTACCCAGGAAGATGCCAGCTTGGAGCTCAAATGGGAGGATGAAACGGGGCGATCATGGGGGCCATGGAGGTTCTCTCAAGTGTTCTAAGGGACCCTAAGGCAAGCTGGCTCCAACAATGGCTGCCTTTGGAAAAATGTAACAGGTCAATCCCTTGACTCTGTGTCCCTGGGTAGAGACCTGCAGTGGTAATGGTCAAGCTAAGGACAGCACATGAGTGTCCTGGCACCTTCCTGAGAGCACACCCATCTCTGTGTGTCTGTGGCTCACTGTCACAGGGATCCAGTAGATCTCCCCCTTGGGTCCATCTGTGAGGGACCAGCCCACCCGACCGCCTCAGATCCCATCCAACCCAACCCTTCATGGATGCCAGGAAAGAACCTTAATGTGAGCTGCAACTGTTTTCACCCTAGCACAGAAGTTAAAAAGTGTGCTTATGTGCAGCCTGCCCTGCTGTGACCTCCTTCCTACATACGACCCTGGGGCTGGGCCACCTCCAGTTCCTCCTCAGCCCTCCTGAGGCCTCCCTGAGTCTATGTGGCCTCCAGGCTGGACTTCCAAGCCTCCATTGCTCTCCTCTCTTCCTCACAATCCTCTCAGTACTTCTTAACTTCGATGTGCTCCAGGATGGACAAGAAAGACTTGTAAGAGGTGCAGAGCCCAAGGCTCATTAAGGTGCTCATTTCCTGATTTTAGCATATAATCTGAGCAATTGTGTTTATTTTCTATAAAAATTGGATATTTATGAACATGTGGTTATTCTGGGACATAAGGATGGGTGGCTCATTCTCATAGAAAACTCATTTGTCACCTAACTGGGTCTGTCTACTATTTAATTATGACTAAAGTCTACAAGAAGCATTGAGAGAAGTGACATAATATAGGAGGCATATGATTTATCAGCACCCACAAAACTCTTCTCCTAAGCACCCTGAAATATAGAAGTATTCATTGCAAAGTTATGTATGTCCATTCCATGATGACAGCAAAGCTTGCGCTTGATACTCATATTAAAACAGGGATCAGAAATAATAACCTGGAAATAAACCATTAGCACACTGACAAGCATTCAGAGCTAAAACACCTATAGGACAGGAGCATGCCACAGTCAGGGAACACCAGCACCCTATTTTTATTAATAAGAGTGCTGCCTACTTGTTTAAGAAGAGAGGGCGTTTTCTTTAAAAAACATACCCAAATATATTATTCCTAATTTAACCTACACAGTCCAATTAGCTGGACTGAGAATAGCAAGATGTGCCCTTTTTTCAGTTAAATGTGTATCTGCTATGCTGACTCAATATCCACCTTTCAGCAGTGATCCTCCACCTGCTCTTGTTCCTGCCTTATAGTGGAAGGTCAGGTCCATCAGGGAGTCTCACTATGACGCCTCCTCACTGTGACCTTTGGGGACCTTGAAACTCTTGAACCCCAGAAGTGTGCCCCATCACCAGCTACAGAGGGGCTTTGTGCCTGCCTTAAATGAGGCTGCTGCTTTTCACTTGCAGAGAGAGCTCCACCCATGACATCACATCTATCATGAAGCTCCTAGCTGCGATTGACCAAATCACTGCAAAGAAAGGAAGCTCTCCACTCAGAGTAGAGGAGTCCTCCCCAGGCATTGTGACAGCGTATCCACAGGCAGGGTTTTCAGTTCCCAAGGTAAATGAAAGAACTTGAGGCACACTTATGGTTGAGGCATTTTTCTGCAGGTATGTTATCTAGCAGTAAAAAAAAAAAAAATCTTTTTAGCAAAGAAGAAAAAGAGGGCCAGCCAGATAGCTCAGCAGATTAAAGCTTTTGCAAGCAGGTGCAGGGGCTGGGTGTTCAATCCCCTGGCCTGCTGTGTTGGCCCCACCCCCTGGGTGCGCTGAGACTGCAATTGAGATTTGGGCGTGGTGGTTCGCGCCTGTAATCCGAGCTCTTGGGAGGCTGTCAACAGTCGATCACTGTGAGTCTGATCTAGTAGTGAGACTCTGAACACCCTGTAGACCCTTCCCTAAAAGAGAGGGAGGGAGGGGGAGAGAGAGAGAGAGAGAGAGAGAGAGAGAGAGAGAGAGAGAGAGAGACTTTTAAAAAAATTTTTATTTATTTGTGTGTGTGTGTGTGTGTGTGTGTGTGTGTGTG